TTACAGGCGCTCGCCACAACACCCAGCTAATTTTTGTATTATTAGTAGAGATGGGGTTTCATCATGTTGGCCAGGCTGGTCTCAAACTCCTGACCTCAGGTAATCTGACCACCTTGGCCTCCCAAAGTGCTGAGATTACAGGCATTAGCCATGGTGCCTGGCTGGATATTGTTACTTTTAACCATGCAGCCCCTGGGGGACTAAGGAAGGCAAAGGTTGTTTTTTTTGCTGTCCTGTGAAAAGGAGCTTGGGAGGATGAGCTTTTCTTTTAAGTGTTTAAGCTTCTGAAATGGGTTCAGTCCATGCTTTCCTCTCCCAATCCAGTAATATGGAAGCTTCAGTAACTGCGAATTTAAGGAAGCAAGTCCAAGCACTTTTATTTTTATCATCACCAGTAATATAAACAGCCACTTCACTTTGGAAAGCTGACCAGGAAGAAGACTCTTGCAAATCTTTTTGCAGTGAAAAAGTAACAATTTAATATCCCCACTATTTCCCTGATAAGTTCTGTTTCTGGACAGTAACATTCTTTCCTTGAAGGACATTATGGCCAAAATGGGCAAGGATTCTGAGGTTGGTTCATTGAGCGTATATTCCAACTCTTCTCTTTTCTAAATGGGCTCATTTAGTCATGCAGGCTGCTTCCTTTACTTGAAATGCCCATCTCTTGGTTACCCTCCCAAGCAAACAGAAACACCAACCAGCCAGCCCTGAAAACATCTCATTCGCTAGCCTAATGGTTCCCAAACTCTTGAGTCTCAAAATTTTTTTCTACACTTAAAAATTCAAATCCCAGCACTTTGGGAGGCTGAGGTGGGTGGATCACTTGAGCCCAGGAGTTTGAGACTAGCTTGAGCAACGTAGTGAAACCTTGTCTCCACTAAAAATACAAAAAGTAGCTGGGCATGGTGGTGCATGCCTGTAGTCCCAGCTACTGAGGAGGCTGAGGTGGGAGGATCACTTAGCCCAAGAGGTTGAGGCTGCAGTGAGGTGAAATCGTACCACTGCACTCCACCTTGGCTGACAGAGGGAGACTGTCTCAAAAAAAAAAGACTTCAAAGTACTTTTGTTGGCTGGGCTCGGTGGCTCACATCTGTAATCCCAAAACTTTGGGAGGCTGAAGTGGGTGGATCACAAGGTCAAGAGATTGAGATCATCCTGGCCAACATGATGAAACCCCATCTCTACTAAAATTACAAAAATTAGCTGGGTGTGGTGGTGCATGCCTGCAGTCCCAGCTACTCGGGAGGCTGAGACAGGAGAATTGCTTGAACCTGGGAGGTGGAGGTTGCAGTGAGCTAAGATTGTGACACTGCACTCCAGCCTGGCGACAGAGCGAGACTCCATCTCAACAAAACAAAACAAAAAACAAAGTAACTTTTGTTTATGTGTGTTAGTTTATCTAGTTATGTACTGGATTTGAAATTAAAACTGAGAAATTTAAAAAACATTCACTAGCTCATTTAAAAAGAATAAACAAGGGAGGCCAAGGCGGGAGGATCCCTTGAGCTCAGAAGTTCAAGACCAGCATGGACAACATGGCAAAACCCCATCTCTACAAATAATGCAGGTACCCACATATATTCCCAGCTACTCAAGAGGCTGAGGCAGGAGGACTGCTTGAGCCTGGGAGGTTAAAGCTGCAGTGAGCTGTGACTGCACTGCACTCCAACCTGGGCAATAGAGTGAGACTCTGTCTCAAAGGAGTAACAACAAAAAAGAGAATAAACCCATTATATGTTAATATAAATCCAATTTTTATGAAAAATACCTAATTTTCTAAAACAAAAAAATTAGTGATAAGTGTGGGATTGTTTTAATTTTGCAAATCACTTTTATATCTGACAGAAGACTGCTGGATTCTTCTCTGTTTCTCATTCTTCTGGATTCATCCTGTTGTGAGATCACATATCATGTAGCCTGGGAAAAACACTGCACACATGGGAGAAACTTACATTTTATTACTATAAAAATAGTTCTGAGGTCAGGTGTGGTGGTTCATGCCAGCAATCCCTGCACTTTGAGAAGCCGAGGTGGGAGGATCGCTCAAGCCCAGGAGTTCGAGACCAGCCTGGGCAACAAGGCAAGATCCTGTCTCTACAAAACTTAAAAAAGATTAGCTCGGTGTGGTGGTGCATGCCTGTGGTTCTAGCTACTGGGGAGGCTGAGGTGGGAGGATCGCTGCAGCCCAGGAGTTTGAGGCTGCAGTGAGCTATAATGGCACCACTGCACTCCATCCTGGGAGACAGAGCAGGACCTTGTCTAAAAAAGTTTTAACTTGTGGATCCCTTGAGCACCCTCTGCTCCACCAAGGTCCCCAGAGAACCACTGTTTGAGGCTAGGGTAATTTCAGTGGTGACGGTGTTGAGGCCCGGGTGATGTTCATGACCTTCTCCTGTGTTCCCACTGCACCTGTCCTGCTGCTGTTTGTGAACCTGGCTAGTCTGGGAGCCTGTTGAAGGAAGACAGTCAAGTTTATTCATCTTTCTTTCAATTTAAATAAGTGTTTTAATTATAAAAGTAACATAGATATATTGCAGCTATATTATAGAAAGTAGACAATTAAAAAAACTCACGCATAATCCTCATATGTCATTTCTTGGGTGTATGTATCAGCCTTTTTTTTTTTTTTTTTGAGACGGATTCTTGCTCTCATCGCCCAAGCTGGAGTGCAGTTGTGTGATCTCGGCTCACTGCAACATCTGCCCCCTGGGTTCAAGCGATTCTCATGCCTCAGCCTGCCAAGTAGCTGGGACTACAGGCGCCTGCCACCTCGCCCAGCTAATTTTGGTATTTTTAGTAGAGACAGGGTTTGCCATGTTGGCCAGGTTGGTCTCAAACTCCTGGCTTCAAGTGATCTGCCCACCTTGGCCTCCAAAAGTGCTGAGATTAACAGGCATGAACTACCGCACCTGGCTTATATCAGTCTTTTTTAAAAAAGCAGTTTTTTAGACCTATTATCTCACCTTATACATGAACATCACAATTTTGGGTATTGCCCCTTCTACTAGCAGAGGGTGATTTTCTGTTTCTGATGTCTATGACTAGCATAACGTTTCAGGGTGTAGATGGATGTAACACTATTTGCTAAATACCCAATATTAGCACATGTAGGATGCTTCCAATTTTTTGTTCTAATAAGTACAGTGATCCTGTGAAGAATACCTCACACATACAGCTTTTCTGGCATTTAGTGTTATTTCCTTAGAACAGATTCCCAGAAGTAAGATTACTGGGTCAAAAGATGCAGACATTTTTATGGCTTTTAATACATATTGTAAAATTGCTTTTCCAAAGGAATATACTAATTTACAATGCCACCAGCACTTTTAAGAATCCGTTTCTCCACACGAATCGTCAACATAGGTGCTATTAAGAATGCTAATCGATAAAATATTGTCCCCTCGTTGTTAAAATTTTGCAGTTTTTGAGGCTCATAAAATTAAAGTTTCTTGAAGAATGAGTGTGTAACACAAAACATTCTTTTGGGACATCTTTATTTCTGGAAAACCTAAGACATTCTTACTTTTGAAGACCAGTAAAAGAACACGTTAGGATTGGCACAGAATTCACTGTGACAGTCAATCTTAATGCCAAAACACTTGAACGATGATTTTTCACTTATTTTGCTAGTTGTCGCCAACAGCAGCAAAAGGAAGAATAAAATGCGGAAGAATGAAATGTTCTTATTGCAAACCGTACAAGAGCACATTGAGGGGTTGGAGCTCTTTCATTCAACTTTTCTTCCCTATTTTTCTTTTTTTTTAAAAATGATTTGCGATTGCAGCCTCTCCTTTTGTTTCCGGTATTACCTGCCCAGAAGAATTCCTGACTTTTTCCGGAGAGAGGCGGGTCCCTGGGAGCGCAGCCCAGCCGCCCGCACGCCCGGCCCGCCCGAGAGCCGCACTCGGCGCACCCCGTTCCTAGGCTCGTTCCTGGGATACCCAGCGGGCGCCCAACCTCGCGAGGGGCAGCTGCTCCCGCACGCGGCGCGGGCTATTTATTCAGAAAAGCACCGGGCTATTTATTCGGAAAAGCCCTGCGCGGACGCTAGGGATTGGGGAGGGAAGGAAACTCGGCTGCCCCGCGCTCCACCCGGGCGGCCGGGGCTGGCGCTTCTCCGCTTTCGCCCGGCGGCCTCATCCTAGGACAGGCGTCCATGAGTCATCGGCTCCGCAGGTCACATGGGCAACGTGACCAAAATAAAGTTTCGGTATTTTAAGCCGCCAGAAAAGGGGACAACGGAGCGCACCGGGGGCGGGCGCGGGAGGCGGGCGGCGCCGGGGCCGTGGGGACGCGGCGCCGAGGGGGCGGGGCCTGGCGGGAGGCGCGCCCCTCCCCCACAGCCGGCAACGACGCTCGCACTCCTAGGCAGCCGGGCTCCGGAGTGGTACGGCGCCCCAGCGGACCTCAGCCCTGAGGCCCCCGCGCCCCGGCTCCCCACTGGCGGCGCCGGGCTGCGGGATCCCAGAGATCCCGGCGCGTCCCCCACAATCACCGGGACCCCACGCGCCGGCAGCGGCTTCCCCGGGAACGTCCTTCAGCCCCGGGAGCACGCGGGAAAAGCCCCAGCGCGCCAATGAGCTAGCGCCTTCCTCCTGACGGTCACGCTCAGGGGCGGGGCTTCCCTTCGCCGCTCCAGAGTTCCGGGAACCCCCTTTGATTGGTCTGAACGGCCTGGGAAACACTGTAGTGACGCCCAATCAAAACGCCATGTCTCGGCCTCGAGGAAATATTCCGTGTCGGCCCCGTCCTGATAGGACAGTTCTTTCGGGCTCTGACCACTAAGAAGCTTTGTTTAGGTCCGGAAGGTGGGCTTTCCTGGGAGTGGGTGGGGAGGGGGCGTTGATTCTTGACCAATCCTTTCAGTCCGTTGGGTGGTGACCAGCCAATGGGCCGGATGGATAGGACGCTCCTCCCGGAGAGTAGTGAGACCCCTGGTGCGGGGCGATTGGCGGCGGGAGTAATGAGTGGCAGCCACATGGCCCAACGGGCGCTGTGCGTGGGCCGCGGGGCGGGGCCAGGGCGGGTGCGCGGCGGCGGCGGGGTGGCTGGGCCGGCGGCGGCGGCGGTACGAGGCGCGCGCTCGGGGTCCCGGTCGCGAGGAGGAGGAGGATGTGGCGCGCGGAGGGGAAATGGCTGCCGAAAACAAGCCGGAAGGTAAGAGCCGGAGCGCGAGGGGCTGGGGGGCGGCGCGGCGGGCGGCGGGACCCGGCCCCACCGGACATCCCGGGCATCGGCGGCGCCGGGCGGGAGCGCGGGGGCGCGGCGGGCGGGCGGGCGGGCGACCCGGCCGGGGAGGGGGCCGACGGGGTGGGGGGGCGGAGCGCGGCCGAGTCCTGAGGTGACTCGCTGGGCCGGCGGAGCGCGGCGCCCCACACCCCACCCCCGGGGGCGGGCTGGGGCCGGAGGGGGCGGGGGGCTCGCGGGGCGGGGACCGGGCCCAGCGAGGAGGAGGAGCCGGCGGAGGGCCGGCGCCTCCCCCACCCGGACCGGGCATCCCCGCCGCTCCCGAGCCCACGGCGCGGCCCCCGCACCCTCGGTGCTGGGTCCGGGGTGGGGGCCGCAGGGCGGAAAGTTTATCCGCCTCGGGCCCCCCTGGCCCCGCGCCCCACTGCTCCGGGCCGGTCCCCGTCGGGCGGCAGCGGCCGGCGCTCAGCCCTCGCCGGCCCCCTGCTCTCCGGCGGGCAGGGCCAGACGTACTCTCTCCGGCACCCCCTTCAGCTCTGTAGGCGCCTCCCGGAGCGGGCGAGGGGTCCCGGAGCTTCTCCCCGCCAGGGGGACCCCGTCCTGCCGAGCGTCCCTCGGCCGAAGGGCCTCGTGTGACCCCTCCCCCTTCGCTTCCCGGGAAGGGAAGGGGGCCTGCGCAGCATCCCCGCCCCTCGCAGTCGTTCACATCCTACTCTTGCCCTTGCACCCTCACAGCCAGGAGGGTGGGGTCTCCGTTTCTATGGCAAGTGAGGATCTCCACACTCCCTTGCCCTTTACCTTCCGTGACCCCGATCCTTCCTTGGCACAGGGGTCCGTCTGATCCGCTCCTCTTCTTTGGAATCTTTTGGGGCCTCTGCACACTCTCCGTTGACCCTTTTTGCCAGGACAAGGGGACTCGGGCTACCCGTGTTCTTTCCTCACCCAGCGGATACTGGGGGCTTGTGGAGCTCTGAAGTAATTTCTAAATAGGAAAGCAGAGTCTTCTTCCCGATCGTGCACACTCTCGCACACTTTGCTGGGTTAGAGTGAGCTCATTTCCTGAATACCCTTCGAGTTGCCCTCTTTTTCTTATGGAGACAACTGGACATTCGCAGTGCTCCTTTCCCCATCTGTGTGTCTACACTGACATGTTCTCTCTTCTCTGATTACCTTGTCTGGGTGAGAGTGGGCGCCCCAAAAAGATGTAGGGCAGGGCTTCCATTGTGCCTAGTGCTTGAGTGAAAAGGGGCCACTCTAGTTACTCCTGTGTCTGAGGAAGACCGGGGTATATTTTTGCTTCCAGTTGACTCTTGTGCCTCAGGAGGGGGCAGCCTTCACCAGTTGACACTACTCCACTGGGAAAAGGGTCATGTGCCCTTGTTTTTTGATGTTTTCATGACTGTCTTCCGTGCAGTGAGAACTAGACTTTGTCCGTCCCACACTCAGGAGTCCTTGAACCTTCCCTGGATATAAACTTCCCAATTCTTTTTTGAGAGAACTCATATCCTCCCTTATGGCTTCTGCTTCCCAGTCAGCCATATTTAGTGAGCCTATTACTTTGACTTTTTCTCATTTTCTCAAATTGTATTCCTGTTGGGTGGGTAAGGAGAAGCCATATACTTTTCCATTCAGAAAAGGGAGTGTAGACACCCATGTCGCCCACATGCCATCCTGGAAGAGGTTGCTTGTGTGCTCCTTGTTGTACTGGAACCTTCCTTTGGCTCTGGTGTTGTCTCTTGTGGGATCCAAACATTTCTTTAGATCGTGTAGCTTTCAGGAGAAGGGGAAATTTGAATGATTTCTGTTTCTTGCTGTTCTGGTTCTGTTTTGGAGAACCAGATCATGATGCTATACACATTTGTTTACATGTACATGCATGTAGGTATACACAGATGAAATCACGTCCATTACATATACAGTGTGCAGGAAGTTGGAAGGGTCAGATGACTTAGCTCTACATTTTGGGTGCATCTGGGGGCCTTTATGTGGAATGATAAAGATAGATATTAACGTTGTTGGTGACTCTTCAGGCTGAGAAGGAGCAGCACAAGAATCATTGGTAAATGGCCAATTCTGACCATTCTTTCGTTTGTCATGTGTACTGTACTGAATAAGCAGAATGACATCCTGCATGTTCACCAAGTCCCTGAATGTGCTAAGTGTACAGCGCCTGCTCATATGCATCACAACTTTGGCACTCTGAATTTAGGGACGTTATTCGTTGCCTGATTCTGCATAGAGTGAAAAGTTCTCGGTTTCTTTACTGCAGTGTAGGGGAAAGAGATTTCGTGTGTGTAGGCAAACAACAGGAGATGGGTGAGAAGCATATGTTTTCCTGAGACAGAGCTAGGAATGAATGACCATAAATATGTCCTTTTTGTATTTTGGCCATTTAAATAATTGAGAGAGGTTGTGAAATTAGCAAAATGTACCTGTGGAAAGGCCCTTGATGCTTCATGAAAGGATGTGGGGGGGCGTTATTCTTCGAGTTCTTTTCTCTTGGGCAGGGGAATGATTTGAGGCCTGCCAACTCTAGTCGGGAGCTTTGCCTCCTCAGGTCTCCCTCCCCTCCCTTCCTTTCTGTCTCTTTGCCTTTCTCCCTCCTTCAAGAAACTCAGAATGGCTGCTAGCTGCTGTCACTCAACAGGGAAGTCTTCCTCTTTGACAGGCTTAGTGTGGAGACTCATCCTCCCCAACAAGTTCTGTTGGGCTCTGGGCCTTTGGGCCTTTAAAGCTCTTTTCTAGCTCAGAGGCCCGCTTTGCCTCAGTTGACTGCGTAAGGAGAAGTGGCTGTTAAAAGATTTGGTCAGCGCTGGTCTGACTTCTGGACCTTGCCTCTCTGTCTTTCAGTTAACACCGAGTCCTGCAGTGGGCCTACTTCCCAGTGTCAGAAAGTAGAGCGTTTGAGCACATTGTTTTTGGTTTAAAAATTTTTTTATGTGTTTGTATTCTGTGTTTGTAATCAGCTTGATGGGCTTGCGTGTTTTTAGGGGCTATTATTAGTGAACTTCGGAAAAATCAGGAGTTGAATACCTGCTGTAGATGGTGCAGATTCAGTGGAATCATCCCGTTTGCAGTGGTGGTTCTTCCTACCTTTCCTCCATGGCCCCATGGAGACTTTGGGAGTTTTTCCTGCTAAGCAGGGGGCTCCATGCAAGGTGCAATGGGAGGAAAAGTGGTAAAGGTTGTTTGGAAGAACACACTTGAGGTTATGGTCTGAAGCTGGGCCCTTTTTCTTGAGTTTAATGTGGTTGTGTTTCTGTGTTACTGGTCTCCACAGATGATTGGAAATCTGCTTTTTCCTCTTACTCCTCTAGTGCAAAATGCTCTGCTGCAGTTGGACGGACTAGACGGGTTCTCCGAACCACACAGTTTCCTCGAATTTCTATTTGACTTTCTGTTAGAACATCACTCTTTGCTCTCCTTCACCCCTTACTTTCAGTTTTTGGAACTAGGTTGGGCGACCTCTTCCTCCTTTGTCTTCTTGGAGGCCTTACTTATCCTGCTTCTGCAGATGTTGGGTTTCTCCATCTCATCGTTGAGTGGATTCAAAATGTTGACATATACAGAGCAACCTCTACTCAAGGTCAGATTGGGTCAGCTTTTCCTTTTCAAAAGAGTAGTGTTGCTCTTACTTGCTCTTTGAGACATATTTCTGCATTCTACTCAGCTGTGTTTTCTATTTCCTTAGTTTTTAGGCTCTGGCAGCTTTAGGCTTTCCCCCTGAAATAGCCTATTATTTGGAGAGTAGCGTTAGTTTAGTCCCCTGTGTCTGCAGGTGTCGGCCCATGTGTCTTGCTGGGTTTTTAATTCTTTGTGACTGCTTTTGAGGTAGCCCATCTCAAAATCTGAACTTTTCCCCCACTGTTTGATTAGTTAGAGCTGTTCTTCCTTTCCTGTTTGGGGGAAATACCCCTTTGTGTGCAGTTGGACTTCTTTCTGCCTACCTCATGGGAAAAGCAGGAGAAGGTGATTCTCTTATTTTCTTCCTTTCCCTTCACAGTCGTGTTAGTTGCCTCTTATGAATTTGCCCTTCTGGGGAGAAGTTGTTTTTATACTTATACTCCCATGACTGACATCATTCATTCAGGGGACCTTTACTGAGCTTTTGTGATGTACAAGGAGCTGTAGGGGGTGATGTGACTTAGACCATATTGGATCTTGTTGTTAGCCTTTTATAGTAATGACATTTCAGTGTATCTTTTTTTTTCCTTGAGACAGTCTCGCTCTGTTGCCCAGGCTGGAGTCCAGTGGTGCGATCTTGGCTCGCTGCAACGTCTGGCTCCCAGGTTCAAGTGATTCTCCTGCCTCAGCCTCCCGAGTAGCTGGGATTACAGGAGTGCATCACCATGCCCAGCTATTTTTTTTGTATTTTTAGTAGAGACTAGGTTTCACCATCTTGGCCAGGCAGGTCTTGAATTACTGGCCTCCAGGGATCCTCCTGCCTTGGCCTCCCAAAGTACTGGGATTACAGGCATGAGCCACCATGCCTGGCCTGCAGTGTATCTTATACTTGTCTTTTATATAGTCTTGTAAGGAATATTTTCCCCAAATTTTAGGTTTTTGGATTGTTAACTTACAAAGATACAGTGTAATAGTGTGCTATCCTGTTGAATCTTTTTTCCTCCTCTCAGCAGGAGTGGGGGTGGTGAAGAGGGTGTTAGGGTGGACTGGGAGAGTCATTTAGCAGCTTCCTCCTAGACTGTATGCAGAGAGAGAGGGAGAGAGGAAGAGAGGGAGAGAGAGGGAGAGAGAGGGAGAGAGAGGGAGAGAGAGGGAGAGAGGGAGACGGAGAATATGTGTAGAAGAAAGTAAAGTCAGCCTTAATCTGATTGTGTATGTGGAACTTTTAGGTCAATTAGATATATGATTGGTTGGAATGCTTATTTAACATTTGAACAGCAGCATTACACTAGGTGTTCTATAGAACATAGGATCAAATGTATTTTTTATATAAGGAAGTGGTATTA